AGTTTGCCACGGTCCGTTTACCAGTTTCACAGTTGCCTTAAAGAATAGGCAAAAAGTTACACAAGCAGCAACACTTCCTTCCTGCCTGCAATTTGGTTTGTTATTGTTGGAATCGGTCTTTTTTTAGAAGAATAGAGACAAGCATGATGAAAGCAAGGCATGTTAATGTTAGGACCCTGCCATGGATGGCATTTATCAGGGAGAGGGAGAAAAAATTACTCTTTGTGGAGAGCACACAATTTTGGGATTTCCTTGTTTGAACAAATAACCCATATAAAAAAAACAAAACAAAACAAAAAAAAAAAAAGCTAAATTAACTTTCTGGATTTTATGGTAAATACAAATATAAAAATAATCATCAATATTTATATTCATTAATATTAAATATTAAAATGATAGGACAGAACAAAGTATTCTTTAAGCAGCACTCCATAATGTCTGGAGGGGTGGGTTGTATTACATATCTTTTATATGTTTTAAAGTGACATGCTTAAAATCAATCACTCTAAAGCCCCAATAGTAACTCTAACCTAGCTTAGCAGACAAGGTGTCGTCACAGACTACTGACCCTTTTTCAAGCTCTTGTTTTCTCTTCCTTTCTTGTGAAAAAGCTTATTTGCCTTTTTTGCATGCTCCACCATTTCATAAAGCTAAAATAAAAACATTTTCTATAATCAGCTAATTGGTAGCACAGTGCATGTAGCTAACTAAGCCAGTGGCTTTATATTGGGTTCACCTTAAACCAAGAAAGATAACCTGACCAAAACCAGTAGGTAGATATGACAGACCTCTCAGTTGTCTCATAAATACTTAATAAATACTACTTTACCATCACCGGGACTTAGAAGAGGTTAGAGCTTTAACTGTAGCTGAGCACCAGAAGTTATAACATGAACATTTTCTAATTTCTAGATAACAACTTTTAATTAAATAGGCTGAAAATCATTGTTAATGTGGTTGCAAAACAAAAAAAAACATGGGATCTGTTGCAAGGCTTACCTCAAAATAAAAAGATAGTGTTTCTCCATTTTGTGCTTAAACACAAAGAGAACATATTGCGGTATGATTAGAAACAAATATTTAAAAAATTTTATATTTCATATAGGATATACCTTTCACTACATTTAGATAAAAAATGATTTAAAATGGTAAATGGCCTGTGCTTATATAGTGCTTTTTCAAGTTTGAAGACTTGACTAAAGCGCTTTACACTACATTCAGTCATTCAACCATTCACTCACACACTGATAGTGGCAAACTACATTGTAGCCACAGCTGCTGTGGGGCTTACTGACAGACACGAGGCTGCCGTACACTGGTGCAACCAGGCCCTCTGACTACCATCAGTAGGCAATGCAGGTGAAGTGTTTTGCTCAAGGACACAACGACACTGAGAGCCGGCACTGGGCTTGACCCATTAACCCCTCGATTTCAGGTCAAACTCCAACGTCCGACGCCTGAACCAAAATTAAAAGTTAAGTGACCTCTTTGAAATTGGCATTGATGCCAACGGTTGGTCTTTTTGTCCATCATTTTTAAAGCTTGATATACAGAGATTGAATTAATTTTCCACTGTTTTGGTAATTTTATTTTTTTCACAGTACAAGATTGTTTTGCTTGAATTAAGGAGGGACATGAAACAACATAATTACTTCCCGAGCAGCCTTGCTAGGTGACTTAGCTGGTGTAAAATCGCCCAATCTGCATTAGGGTAGCGACTGAGCAACTTCATGGAATAAATTTACAAAATGACTAAATAACAGCAGGTAAAAAGAGAAACCTCTGTGTTTCACTTTTGGTGTTCTTCCATTATTACTTTCTTAATTGACTGGAAAATAGTAACATTACAAAAGGACAGTTTCCACAAACTGAGCTGGCATTAATTAATTGATTGTTTTTACAACTGAGAGCGAGCACAACGTACGCACACATGAATGGACGGACAGTGTACTCACGCAAATGTAAAAAAAATTTTAACTTGACTTTTGCAGAACACAGGTTAACCATGTTCAAACTACTTTTTATGCTTAGGCTCATTAAAAGTCTACAGTGAATTCATAATGCAATTCAAAAGAATCTGTCTATCAGAAGATTCCTGATTCTGCAAGCGTTTTCATGAAGCCTGATGTTATTATAAACCACATATATTAAATCTGTTCAAAAAATACAAATAAAAGTTTCAAAAAAATGTATGAATAAAGAAGTAATTAAAGTAATTAAATTTGTGAAGACTCAAAGAAGGACAAAGAAAACATTACGAGTAATGTAATGTAAAATAAAGGACATCAAGGACAATAATAAATATGAAAATATCAAGAGTTGTTCTAATACTTAAAAAACAAATAAATGTGATAGAGCTTCAATTATATTGGGCTCCACAAGTACGAATAGTATATAAGCTGACCTTTCATACAGAGTAAGTGCCACTGGAGAAAAGCGAGGTCTAAACAGCTTCCGACCAGATGGCAGAACCAGCCACAGACGGGTCACACAAACATTTTCCTCCCTTCAGCAGTCGTACAGCAATTGAGAGAGCCTACGGCGATGCCACCTGTTTTAACACATTTCACTGTTTCACCATATTCACCAAGCCCCTTTGCTCATCACGGTGACTCACTTTCTTAACGTCCCTTTGGCAGGACTTGGATACATCATTTATAAAACACTCCTACAGTTGTTTTTTTTTTCTTCCATTTTTGCATGATCACACCACATCTCTATCTCTCTATGTGCTATAAATGTCTTCCTAACACAATCCTCCAAACCTCCACAGGACCTGGCAAACACAGGATGAATAATAAAAATCATTCATGAGCAAAACCTATGAAGAAATACTTTTTCTTCCCACAGTGAACAATTTCAGAAAGACTTAGTCATACTTGAGGAGATCAAGATGTTAATATTTATCACTTACTTCCATCGGTAGAAGCAATGCTTGCTGAGAGTTAGCAATGATTGAATACATCAAACATTTCCTTTCTTTTTCTTCCCTCTTATATACATAACCACAAAGAAGGAACAACATCAAGTTTGTTTATTTTAATATTTAGCACAGGATTTCTTTAAAAAGTGAAATTAGAAAACTACCCAGACACTAAACTTTTTCAAGAGTAAAATTCGAATTACCTTTTTATTAGAGATGCACTGATCTGACACCTGGATCGGATATCGTCTATGATATTGACTAATAACCTGGATCGAATATCTGCGATTTGATATCAGATATCTTAGAACCAGTACATCGCATTTTACATGAAAATGTTATTTCTTTATTTTTGCAGCTTATTTGTTAAATACTTTAGAGTACATTTATATCTGTGTTAAATTGTAATCTTTTTTATCAATGTTTATGTCAAGGCTAAAGCTTCCACTCACATGGTAAAATATATGGTCATTTCATTCAACAGTTGAATTGGATCAGTACTGGGTATCGGCCGATATGCTTTGCCCAGGTATTGGTACTGAATTGGGAAAAAATTAATCGGTGCATCTCTAGTTTTTATACAGGAGTTAAAATAACAATTGAACACCTCACTGTTTTTCATAGGAACTAAATTTACAAAGGTGCTATTGATATTAAATTGTTTTATTAACCAAAACAGATAAGCTCAGAAACAAAACTATGTTTTATAATGTGATATAAAACAGGCAAAAAATATTGAACATAAGCAGAAATCAGAAAAACCTTCCTGTCCCCTCAAAGGCAAATGAATATCAGCTTATGCAGTTCAAACTGATAAACCATAAAATGGTGTGCCATTACCAAGGTGTCACACAAGGAACACCTTATGATGTGTAAAAGCAAAGAACTCTCTCAAGACCTTATAGCTGCAAAATATTCTGGTGGAATTACAGAAGGTTTTCTAAAACTTCTTAACGTTCCAGTTAGCAATGATAGGGCCCCGATCAGGTCCTTCTCACAGAGGAATGAAAATAATGATCAGAAGAGTTGCCCAAGAGCCAAAGACCATTTGAGGAGAGATTTTAAAAGACCTGGAATTGCCAAATACAATTATTTCAAGGCAAACAATAAAGCAATGCATTCAATGGCCATGTCCTCCACTGTTTAAAAGACTCAATTTTGAAAGAAAAAAGCCAGTTGAAGCTTGTCAAAAGTTTGCTCCACAATATCTGGACAAGCCTGTAGAATACTGGAAGACATAGTAGAATTTAGGAATTTGGATGTCATGACACACACTATGTTTGGAGGTTAAAAGGCACTGCCCATCAAACCTAAAACACCAAACTAAGGTTTGGAGGTGGAAACATCATGGTGTGTGGCTGTTTTTATTTGCAAATACTCAAGAGGACCGTGACTGCCTACGACAGAGAGACGGAGAAGCACAGAGGAGTTGGTGTTGGAGGCTGTGGCTACAAGCTAACCACCGTAGCTAAAACGGGAGACGCCCCATGTTACCGTGAGTTAAAAAATTAACCCCCTTGCAGATCGCCTCTTATTATTACCTCAGATTAATCCAGATAGAGCTGCTGTTGAATGAACAAACTGGACTGAAGCCTGCGGAAAACCAAACCGAGCCAAGGGCCTTCACTCCACCGAACCAAAACAATAACCTCATCCCACTCCCTCCTTTCCATCTGATGCTTAAAAAGTGCTCTGCTTGGGTGAACTAGGTAGAATAGATATTCGTATTGGTGTTTTTATTTAAAATAAGCTTTCTGATTCAACTGCTGATGGTTTTAAAGGTTTAACTATTTGTAGCTATTTTGTATTAAATGTTAGTTTTCCTGAATGCCTGTTGTGTGTTTTAATTTGGTGTTTAAAAACAAATTTCTTCAGATGTTTAAACTAATGGATTTTTTTCCGGAAATTAAAAAAAGTGGTACTAACACCTTTAATGTTATATCTTATTTCCTTAAAATTAAATTGACATATAATTTCGTTTATCATTTGAACAACATTGCCGTTCATATAAGATGTTATTATATGATGAAAATTACTTAATGGAGGTGTGTAGCAAAGATCCCAAATCTCTTCATACCTTGATGTAGAGCTCAAGCTGTGGATAGACTCTTCTCACTCTGAAGAATGCAGAAAAAAGGGCTCTGTGAGGGAATGAGGTAGAGATCACGTGGCTGACTTGAGGGAAGGAGACCACATTAAATCCTGATGCCTTGCAGCGTTTTAGCACTTCTTCATCAACTTTGTTTCCTCCCTCACTCAGAATACAGCCAACAGCATAGCGGCAGAGTGGAGTTGTAACCTATTGAAAAAGATTTTAAGACATTAATGAAAACATATTAGAAACATAGAGTGTGTTGAGAAGCAATTTGTGACAGTGTTTTGAATCTAGTGGTTAGGCATAAAAAAAAAGTATTTGACATCTGCAACAAGTGTGCTAGCGCAACACAAAGCTAGAAATATGTCAGCAATAGCGTTAAACGAACTGCAAATGCTATTTCTACAACATGTTGAACGGTCTCATTTATAAAGCTTGTGCATGCACAAAATGGGGCCTAAAAATTGCTTACGTCAAGTGATCCATAAATTTTAAGCTATCAGAAACTATCAGGCTATTTGACTTGAACTTTTTTTGTAGCTGTTCTATAACCCTTTTTAACACCCTACAGCCAGTCAGAATTCAGTATTCATCCAGATTTAGACATATTTATTTTGTCATTTTGTATACGCAAGTATAAACAAAAAGAAATTTCGTTTAGAATATCTCTCTAGACTATTTAATATTTTTAAAGTGCAGCCTTGATAAGATAAGCAGCAGTTGTTGTTGAGCTGCTACTACTGCCTCCGGCTCCTAAAGCTCTCGCTTCTCCAGGCTCAGGGGAGGAAGAGGATGATGATGACGATGCTGTGAGGGGGGTAGTCCCCTGGGTTGAAGAGGCTGACGCGGTTGAGGCAGCAGTGGTTCTATCGGTAGGTTTAGCAGCGACAGACGATGCTAGAGAAGGTGTGGAAGCCGGAGGGGGCCGGGAGGAGCCAGCTGGGGATGTTTCAGCATTTGGCAGGGAAGCATCTAGTGTGCTCTACTCATTTTCACCTGCAGAGGACTGTGCTTCCCCTCTAGATGACGAAGATTGCCTGGGAACAGTCTCAGAGCCTCCATTCATGCAGAGTTCTTTGTTTCTATCTGCACAGCACAGCAACAGCGCCCCCAGGCCAACAGCACTGTCCGGTACTGCTGGACGCAGCCAAGACCCCGTCAGAATGATGGCGCAGCAGTTACATATCTCCTTTTTGAAAGAGAGTTCCAGTCGGAGATTATCCATTTTGTTTTCCAAAGAGCAGACGTTGAAGAGCAGGATTGAGGGAAGCGGTGGTCTGTGGGGATCTCTCTTTAGCTTTGCAGAAGCCCACCGCTGCAGCCTTGCTTTCTCAGTCTCGTGCGTCTCTTCCTCCGTCCGTTATTTTTCCGCTGTTGTTTGCTGACATCTGTCCATAGCACTCAGCAGCTTTTTAAACGGTCAAAAATGTCAGTATTTTAAACATTTCGTGACCGTAGCTTCAGCAGGTGTTGGCGATCATAGATGCGGGTTTGATGTCTAGTTTGTGTCATTTTTAAGCGGCATATTTTGTAAAATTGTCAAGAGGAGTTGTTCTTGGCCGCTGCCTTGGAGCGCCACCATGATAACCCATTTATGGGAACCCAGACCATGTTCTATCTAAAATTACTTTCCTTAGCAACTTCCAACTCTTAAAGAGAAGCAGTAAGACTGAAGTTGCTTTGATGGTAGGAAGAAAAGTACAGCATCTAGAAGTGGGAATTAGTGAAAAGTAGCCAATCACAAGCAGGTTGCTTTGTCCAGTGTGTAAAACCTTCAAAGTGACCAAAGTTGAAATTAAAGAATAGAAACAGGTCCACACACAAGGAGGAGAGAGGCTGCATGTTCGCAGAAATCAAACCAAATGCAAGCAGAGAAGGATAAGGCCCACATGTGTGATATATTGGGGCCCTATGGCACTTTATTTGCCCATGTAATGTTAAACATGTGCGATTAGTTTATGAGCATCTGTATGATGTAAAGCTGCATGTAGGAGTACTTATTGCTTGTATGGACTTTTGGCAGAATCCTGATGCCATAGAAAGTATATCAAAGTTAGTGAGGTGTTAAATTGAAGCCAGATTCCATCATTATCCTCTTAGGAAATGTGTTTCATTTAGCAGTTCAACTTCATTTGAAGTCAAATAGCATTGTGATATACGATTCCATTGGAGAGCTGTAATTATACATGAGGACCTATCACATAAATAAAAAAGGTTTATAAAGATGCTTTAACTCTAAACCAAAGGGAGAAAATATTGATAGGTTTTCTCATTATCACATTCGTAAAATCACTTTTTTATTTATCAGTCCACTACTGTGGCTACTAATATTGATACACCTCGCCATCTCACTAACAGCACATCTATTTCTGCCTTGGTTAAACTGCGCTTTCTCACTCCGTTTCCTACTGTGGTTGTCATTGGTTACTATTAAATAACACTGATGAGCTGGCTCTTGTATATACACAATGACATTCATGCAGTGCTTTGCATGGACCATTTATGGTTGAATGTGGGAGTGAAGAGAGCCAATCATGAGGTGGAGCCTTGGACTCAAACTTTTCAAGTACAGATGTGATTTATAAAGCAAAACAGTTTGGTTTTGTCCATAAGCAACTTTTTATAAAGCAGTTTTCCTTGGCGCAGTACGCCATCTAAGAATGTTTGGTGTTCATACATTTTTAGTATGGATCCTGCGCAATACTTTATAAAGGAGACCCCAGAGCTGAAAGACAGTGACAGAGGTCAAGTTGGAAGAGGGTCTACATCAAGGATCAGCTCTGAGCTCCTTCTTTACTACAGTGAAGGACAAGTTGACAGATGAAAGTAAAAAGGAAGCTCCATGATAGCAGAGATGGGAGTGAGCCAAGTAGGACTGTGAGGTTACATGGGGCAGAGATAAAGAAAGTGGAGGGTTTTAAGTGTGTAGGGTCATCAGTCCAGAGTCATGGTGAGTTCAAGAAGAGGTGAAAAGACGTGTCAAAGCAGGCTCAGACGGGTGAAGAAATATATCAGGTCTGTTGTGTGATTAAAAAAGTATCACTGAGAATAAAGGAAATGAGTTCACACAAGAGGATGGTGAGACCAGCAATGTTGCTTTGAGAAAGATGCACTGAGGAAGAGACAAGAGGTAGACAAGAAGATGGGGTTAGATGGAGAAAGATGATTCGCTGTACTGACCAGCGAAAGGACAGTTTAATTTTTGACAAAACAGAATTCACAATTATTTCAAGTTTACAAACATAATTAGATTATAACAAGATTCATATCAGCATGCGCCTAAAAGACTTAAATAAGGAGCTTAAAATATTGCAGCTCTTCTTGATCTGACAAATACATAAAATCCCATTGAAGAAATATAAGAATAATGAGGAGGAAGATGAGGTTTTACAGACCAAAATAATTATAAAGTTATTTATAAATCAAAAGCTAGTTAAAGATAGTTTTAAGGAGAAGAAGTAGTTTGAGAAACAATAGATAATTATGAAAAAAACCATAAAAAGAAACTTAAACTGTTAGCCAGACTCCTAAGAAACAGAGGAAAGTGTTTATTTGAGGAATATTGAGGATATTAGCAGAAAATTAGTTATTTTTCCTTTTTCCAACTTTAAAAGGAATTGTTACCCCTTAAAAGCATAAGGAAAGGGAGAAATCTCTGAATCTCTTAAAATATTTTCCCCCACTGCAATGGCAACTGTGGGTTAATTTAATAAATAAGGTGGAATCATCCAGCTCTGTCCTATTTAATTATTTTCACCCCTATCAAACCTTCATTAACAAGAAAGACAATTTAGATAAAGACAGAGCTGTAAACAAGTTTCCCTTTTCCTCAACCTCACAGGAACTCGTTTTTTTTAAGTGTGCTCATTATGAGTTTTATTCTTTATGATGTTTCTTTAATACATTAATGGCTCATAGGAAGCAGTATTTCTTAAAATTTGACAACAGGAATCAAGCCGTCTCTGGTTTCTGCTGCATATTAGCAGCACATGCATTGCTAAGGCAATAGGAGAAGTAGGGATAAAACATTTAGTCTTTACCAGCATGCAAAGCAACTTTATGCACCAAGATTCCCGAAAAGCTCGGGTCTTATAAATGTTTTAAAATAACTTTCAAAAAGAACAAGTGCAGAAGGGATTTATTTCATCAGTTGCCCCGAAGACTGACATGCATTCCCTAAGCAGCCCCTCATCTAGCTGCCATCCCTACAGCTTTCATCATGCTGACACAGACTTTGTTCCTTGAAGATGGGCAAACATTTGTCGATATGAAGCTTTTCCATATGTCAGCTGTCAGGACAGATATAGGCTGGCAATATACTCTGAAAATAGGTATAAAGTATATAATATAAAACAGTATAATCTACCCATTAATTTGATCTGCTCTGTGTTCACTGGTGTCAAAATCTATGCCATGAATAAATCAAGTTTCTTGGTTTGGTTTCGCATACAGTGACTCAAATGTGAGACTATTCTATATTCAACAGGACAGATGACAGCCTTGTTCCTCAGCACAGATAGTTGCTACAGGAACTTTGAGAGAAAAGAGCTTAAAACTCAAGTATATTGAAAAATTGTGGAATTGCTGATCATTATGATGATCTTTATCCCCGCGTCTTCATCATTAAAGTAAATGTAGTTAATTGAGAGTGTGTCAAATGTTTCAGATTTAGTTCTTTGTAAATGTTTTAATACATCTCATTTTTTTCCCCACATTTTGTCAAAGTTAGATTTGTGTATTTTAATGTACTGTTATTTGAAATACCAAAACAAAGAGAGTATAACTGAATTAGAAAACATTGCTTAAATTTTAAATTCTTTTTAGATTTTAAAATCTGAAAGTTAAATCTGAATAAATTTCTATCCAAGTTCCATAAGGCTGCATTTTTGAGAAGCTCTTGGCATTGCATGTCTCCGCTAGACACCTACAGGAGTCTGGACTCTGTCATCTTAAGACAAATTGGCTCTGATCTCCAGTGGAACTCTGCCTTTATTTTAGGGTCTTAACAGGGCTGACTCAAGGCCTAAGCAAATTAAGCAGCTGCTTAGGGCCCCAATCCAACTAGGGAGCTCTCAACAAAAGTTTTTTCTTTACATGTATAAATATAATTATATAAAAATTGTAACCAAATAGCACAATTACATGAAAAACTAATTTTGTTTTACATGAATATATTTTTGGTCATGTAAAAACCATTATCTATA